GCGCGCACACGCGCGAGAGCGGCGGTTCTCGATCCGCGTGCAACACGCAAGCGATCGCAGACTCTCGCGACGCGGGTGGAACAACGTCGTCGACACGGCTTCCATCGTACGGCGGCGAGGAGAAAAACATTATCGGACCGGGGCGAAAAGCGCGCAGGACCACGGGCACCGTTGCGCAAACTCGATTAAAACGAGCGTTAAGCGATCGAGCGGCCGCGGGGGTGGAAAGCGCACCGCTTAATAGGGTGTGATAGATCGGGTAAATTGCATCGGTGCTAATGGGATTGCACGCGATGGTGCTATAACCATTACCGTGGCCGTAGAGACTGGTATCCATGCCCCGAAACCACCCCCATAGTGCGATCCTGCCGGACCCCGCGTTTCTCCCGCTCCCACCCTTCCGTTTCCCGCTCTTCTTTCTCTCTTCTTCCACCCTTCTCCGCGATCTTCCATCCCCGACCCTCGAATCTCCTCGCCCTATCCCCTCGAACCGGCCAGGTTCATGGCGACGGCCGTGTTGCTCGTTCGATTCGCGCCTCCCCCCCCCCCCCCCCCCCCCCCCCCCCAGAGTCTCGTGTTCCGAATTTCCCAATTTTCATCGCGCAATTCGCACGGAATGCGACTTCTGTCCGAGCGTGTCTCCCCGAATGCAAGGCGACCTGCGACGTGCCAGCTCGGACAGCGGGCAGATTAAAGGCTCGTATTATGGCGACTGACAGAGGGACTTGGCTGATAATTCTCTAAACCGAGTGTGTGCACTCGTGTCCCGATATTACGCGCGCCACTCCTTTGAAACGTTCCAATTATTCGCGGGAATGAGAGATTAAAGGCTTCATTGCTCCCGATGTTAAATGTCGTACCCGAAACATGTCGCCCCCGAGTCCCGGCGGAACCTGCTCGTCTCCTTTTCTATTCGTTCGTTAATCCCACCCCCCATGCGGCCGCGTGTTCTATACGTCAATTATCCCGGAAACGAAAATTAAAAACCCCCACGGTATTCCGCGACGCGGAGAAATCATCACGTCCCATCGCTCCCATCCATAACAATTCCCTAAAAACGCCATCGAACGCGGCGGTTCCCGCGCCTCACCCCCGTTCTTATTACAACCCCCGTCGACAAAGGGTTCGCGGCTGTTGGGAAAAGTGAACGGTACGGGATCGGCAATAGGGGTGACGACACCCCTCCTGGCCCGGTACGATTGATTCCTCGAGCACTGGAACGTTTCTCGCGACGCACCCGGAGGACACCGGCGACGACGACGGGCCCGGAGGCGGGAACAACGGACGTGACGGCGGGACGTCCCGGTGCACGAGGAGCGGAAACGACGCGGGACAGAGAGAACAGAGAGGCACAGAGAGAGAGAGGTAAGGGAGAAAGATTCATTGACATTTAGCGTGGCGAACAAAAAGCAAGGACGACGAGGGGACAATGGCTGTCGAATTCTTTGTCCCGCGCCCGGGACTGGATTTTTAATAACGCCGCAAAAATAATGGAGATACCGAGGCAACAATGGGGGTGAGTCTTCATTAGAGGGCCGCCGCGTTCCATGATCAAATGCTTGTCTAGCGGCCAGCCACCGGTGTCGCCGGTTGGCAGGCCTGCACGCGGCCCGCGACACGCCGCGTTTTCACGGATCATTCGTCGCGTCGAACCGTTTTGGCGCCTGCTCCCACGCGTCTCCGCCCCCTCGTCTCTCGCCCCGCTTTCCGCGCTTCCGCTTTTTTCTCCAGCGCCGCGAGAAGTTTGGATTATCCGGGTGTAATTTTGATTCGTCCGTGGCGCCGACTGGAGGACCTTCCCCCCGGGGGTGCGTCCCGGGTGTAACGCGCCAAGTCAAATAACGCCGCGAAAGAGTTACGATTTCGTGGACTGACATGGGTGGCAGTGGGCGAACTCGCTGCGGCTCGTTCGTTTTTGCGAGAGGAGAGTTTGTCTTTCGAGACGGCTCGCGATCCCTCTTCTGTCCTGAACCCTATATTCCGCAACCACGTGCTCTTTTTGCACCATCCGTGTCGTGCGAAACCGAAAATCGGAACGGAAATTAGCCAAGACGTGGAAGATTTTCGTTGTAAATTCCAGGTGGGTTTCGAAGACCAGGTGGACAATGGCTCGAAGCGAATCGAGGGTCGTAAGCGTTTAATCGATAGTCATTTTTCAGGATAAATATTGCGCGAGAGGCTTTCCAGGTGGGCAGCGGCCGGTTCGCTCGCAAAGTGCCGCGTCTTTGTTGTTTCAGAGGGTTAGGCTAGCGGCATTCCCTCGAAAGCTGATTTCCTGGCCACGGTTAGATTGCTGTCCGCTCTTTGTCTCTCTTTTCCACGTGGTGCACAAACACGAGGTCACGCACACTCTGCCAACCGTCACGCGCAATCCCTCCGCCACAGGTCAGATAAATAAATAGCGCGGGAAGACTCGGCAAATATTTGCGGGAACCCGTACACACCTGAAGAGAGGAGCGTAAACGCACGCGCTTGGTCTCTTTCGGCTCTTCGATTCTTCTTCGTCCGGACTCGAGGACCCTTGAACGTGATACAACTACCGCCACGTGTAAATGCACGGCTGTCGTCGCGTATCGTATATTAATCGTTGGGAAATTCCAATTGCCAGCATTTTGCATGGAAAACAGGCGCGGATTAATTTGCCAACGCGTTCGCGTTCGATCCGTTGCGGATTTCACCTCGTACGTACTTGTTTGGCATAAAGGGAATGGAATTTCGTCGGTAAGAATGCCGTGGAATATATTAACAGTCGAAAATCATTTAACGTAACGAATCGCACAGGTAGAGGCGCTTTTATGCGCATAATTAATATCCTTGCCAAAGAGACATCTTTCCTATTAAATTTGCATGTCGGTTCGTCGATATTCGTGCACGGATGACAAAGCTGTTCAACGTTGCTAATTAGGATGGAAAGACAGTTCGTTGATACAATTGCACGGTCGACGTTCGGCTAACAAAGAGGAAATACGCGTATCAGCGCAATTGCGAGATAAATGTCAAGTATTCTGCGCGTTTCTCGGCGAATAATAAATATTACGTTTAAATAAATCGCATTGAAAGCTTCCCTACGCGTTTACGTTGGGATACCGTTTGATTGGCAGATATAAAGAACGGGAGATGTTATTTCATTCGAAAATATATATTTATCACGAGCTAAACGAGACTAGGAGTAAAGTATAAATTAGAAGACTAGACTGATAACTGATCTGACATTCTTGTGTCAACTCTTGCCAAATACTCCGTAAAGGACTGCGTCAAGATGGCCCTCGCACCCTTATTTAAACCTAGGAGTCTCACTTCTTTCTACACGCAGGCTTTCCATCTCGATCGCTCATAAACATCCCCCGTCCATACAATTCTTGTCCTTCCACATGCACTCCAGATATCACCCTGAGCATTCGATCTGATTTTGCACTCAAACCCTAGCACCCTACATTTATTTATGACAGCATCTGCAAACACAATGAACAACTTTTCCATCAAAAATTCGACGCAGTGGTACCAAAAGAATTTTTCCCTTATCTCAAAAATTAACGCCGATTGTCGCACATATTGCAGAGAACTAATCTAAATTTCTGTTAACCAAATTAAATTTCCTTCACGCCATAGTAGATTAGATCCACCGATAATCGGAATGCACTCACTCTCAAATCCTAGCACCCTACATTTATTCGCAACATCTGCAAACACACTGAGCAACTATTTCCTCAAAAATTGAACGTCCCGATACCAAAAGAATTTTTCTCTTATCTCAAAAATTAACGCCGTTTGTCTAACACATTGCAGAGAACTAATCGCGCCAAGTTTTGTTAACCAAATTAAATTTCCTTCACGCGATAGTAGATTTGATCCAGCGATAATAGGAATAAGTTTCCAAGCAAAAAGCATATTACGCGACCCCCATCACGCAGCCTCGAAACAGCGAAGCTACAACTGCCCTTAAATTTCCATCTCCCTTCGAACAAACATAAACTCAACTTTAACCCACGGTAGCAGATAACCGGGCTCATTCTCCCTCTTGATTTTCCAACAACTGACCGCAACACGAGCCTGACACCGCTGATCTTTCCACCGTCGTCGTAAACCCGCGTGTCACGAAAGGGCGCTACAATTTCCCATTTCGAACGCCGGCCAAAACAGCCCGGTCCTCCCATCCACGTCTCGCAAATTTCGACCGGGATCCAGCGCGAAAGCGCGCGAATTCGCTGCGAGCTGGAGGTTAGTCGGGGCCGCGGTCGAGCGACTCGCCGCTGAGTATATTCATAAGCGGCGGGGTATAAACCTCATAAGCGATGCAATACACTTCGGGGCCTGTGGTCGGGGCTCGCCCGGTGTATTTCAGTCGGCGAAGACGACGCTTTACAATGACACCGTCGCGTGAATTAACAAACAGCCCTGTGGCACGTCGCGGCCTCACGAGAAGTTAAGTGCGCCGCCTGTGATACACTCGCGCGTGCAAAGGGGATTACGAGACCGAGCACGACATAATTCGCGTTTTGTGCCACCCCCGAACCGGCCTCGTCTTCCTCGACAACCGCGACTCCTCTTCCTTCCGGTGACGTTGCCGAGAAGCGACGAGCCCTCCCCGTCGTGTCACGTCGGGTAAAAACCGAGATGTTTCCCGAGTCTGCGAGACTGATTAGGAAACGTCTGTTTGCCTCCCGCTTCCTTTTTTATTCCACGGGCCTTTGCCAAGTCGAGGGTGGCTCGGGGTTGCCCGGAGAAGAAGATGCCTCGAGTATGCCTGATGCGATTAGCGCGCGTTTTCGTATGAAAATCTATTCCGTTTCCGAGGGCTGATTCGATGATTGTTATTGGCTTCGTTAGCTTGGGAAATTGGGTGGATACGAGAAGAACCACGGTTGAAGAAGAATATTACGCGATGAAAATATTTGCGAAATTCGGATCGTCTAAAGTGCTTCTGATATTGGCGACACAAACTAGCCGCGTGGTGTCAAATTCTCTTCCACGAATATTATAAAATTATTTTAAAATCTTACCTTAACGCCTAAGTTCCGATGGTGCGTGTCCATGGTAAACAGCAACGTTGAGCAGGTCGAGGCACAACGACACACTTGGTCCGAACGCGGCGGAGAATAACACGCAACTGAAACAGGAAGACGTCGACGATTATGAACTGCGAACTTGACTCGTGATGTTTACGTTACGTTACGCTGTCGAACTATGGTTCTCGCCCGTGAAACTCGTGTTTGGACCGTTTCCTTACAGAGATATTGCAAGGGAAGGTGTTATAGTACATACGTTACAGCCATGCGCGTTGCTCCCGCGCAATTAAAAATAAGCGCGTGATTTATAGAGCACCCTCGTAGACCAGCTTACGCGAAATCTTGGTGAACGCGTGTCTAACGAAAGATAGACCGTTATCGAAAATATAGTATCAGTTCCGGTGGAACCCTGTCGTCCATCCCCGCTGGAGAATCCAGTGAAACGGGGATTACGCTCGATCTAGTCTCTCGATTTTTATCGTCCGTATTTTGCGGCCACGGTAAACGTTCCGTGCACGGGCGTGTATCGGGGTCCAATTAACGGGCGGTGCCCCTGAAAATATATTTCACGCGTTAATTGCCACGGCCGCGACAAGTCCGACGGAATTTCAGCATAGATCCGATGAAATACGAGGCGGCCGGCTCGCGGAATCGCCGCGTGCAATTTATAAATTATAATAATCGTATATTATAGTCGGCCGGCGTGTATCCGTGTGCAGCGGCAACCGGGCAACGAAATATTTGATAGCTAGCCATAAATTCGATCGTAAAAACCGAGACGCGCGCGTCGAGTGTTCCTTTCGTGGTACGTCGCGGATTGCGCGCGTTTGATGCCACTGCGATCGGAAAGTCGATAATTCTGCGCGAGAAAAAGCAAAAGAAAGGAAATAGAAAAAGAGAGAGAGAGAGAGAAATATAGCGTGGAGTGTCGACGGTGTTTCGAGAGAGCGTTCCAAAAAATTGTTTTCCAATCCCCTGGAATGAAAAATTCGACTCGATGAACGTCACTGCGCGTATTTGCGCTGCTACCCGTATAACGTATTTATGAACAATGATATTATTCCAATTTAAAATTCACTCGTTAATCGCGCGATGCATCCGAAGCGGAAAATACGATACTTTTAACACTCGACTCACCGCGGATGGTTAAATGACAGTTAGAAAATAAAGCGCGGAATTTTTGATTAAACGTATAAGAACGATGAATTTAAACGCAGGAAATTTTTAAACCCGTTGCAATAAAATTCTACAGAACTTCATTTCGTATTTACTTTTTCCCCATTGAAAACTGTTGCGATATACGCGAGTGTCACACAGATATAAAACAGGTGTAAAGCACAGATATAAAACAAATGTACACCAAATTTTAGCAGGGATAAACGTTAAATTACACGGAATATTTTCGAAATGGAATTGTGTCTCGAATTCCAACGCATCTTTCTGTCAAAGATGTCTCTCCATTATCCACCCCGTCTCTTATTAACGAAATTCATTTCCGTGTCTCATAATCCCACGCAGCAAACAGCGGAACAAACGGGGCTACCACGGGCTCGAGTATGGTTGCCGCGGCTTCTGAAAACTTTGCTGCGCCGCTAACTCTGCCGTGTCAAGCCGAATCTCGCGGATATTACATTGACGCTGCAGATTACCGGGCCGAGCCGCCGTTTGCTCAGTACATATTACGAGCCACCCTTCGGTTCCCTTCGTCCGTCCCTGGCGCCCCGCGCCCGTCGCCCTCTCTCGCTCTCGCGGTATGTCAAATATTTAACCGAGTTTCAACGCGGAATATCAAATGGAACGATCGATAGGAGTCACCGGCTTTAGTCGGACACAAGTTACGCGCACACACTCCCCCCGTCGCGGTTCTCTTCTCTTTGACTTCCCTCCTTGTAGCCAAACAAGCCCCTTGTTCGTCCTTTCTTTCGGCTCCACGTCGCTTCTCGATAACGTGAAACGTGCGCAAACACCATTCTTTCATGGGTTTCGCCGGTTGCTCCCGTGGAAATTGCGCCGCGCTGTCTTCCACCCTCGCCGCCCCCGACCGTGTCCTCGGCGATGGCTTCTCCTCTTGCAAATTAACGACGACGTTGTCGCCGCGCGAGCACGCGGGGAATGGGGCGGAATAATTGCCGAGAGGAACTGACAATACGAAGCGAGAATCTCGACGATCGCGGACAAGTGGCACGGAAACGGGCTCGGAAACTCGAATTAAGGATCGACGTTCTATCCATTGTGTCCCGCTAATGCCCGGTCATGTCGGGAAAAAATTAAGCACCGTGCCGATGGAAATTGCCATCGCGGTTCGATGACTCGATCAACGTTCGTGACTGTTGCCGGAAAATTCTACGACGAACTGCGAGAAACGCTTATTATTATAAACAGGACTCGCGAGTAACACATAATCGGTTAATCGAAGAAATTTCTTTGGAAATCCCGTTCCACGTTTTACCCCAATTAAATCATAGGCGGGAATGTACTTAAAAAGTTTGAAATTTGCTCGATTTAAAATTTTTCCGGTTTCCTCTTTTTTTAAGACGAAAAGGGAGAGACGTGCGAGAATTATTTCGGAATTTCGGTGAAACAAAATGGGAGTTCTTTCCCCTCGTTCGTCGATTTTAGTCGCAGGGAAAACAACGTGGTGCGCCTTTTTAGCGAAAGATCAAAGAAGTTTCGGGCAACGTCACGACGCGGAAGCGGGGTCTGGCTGGAGGGTATTCGCGGATTCATAACTCCGTTCGCGAAAATGGGCCGATCCTTTCAGGGCCATTTTCGTCATCGCCCCGACCTCCCATTTTCGTTGCTCTCGACACCGGTGCAGGATGGTTGGTACAATGGGATCGCTCGAGCGTATCGCCCCGATATTTCTCCGCGCCGATATCGATGAGCTCCTCCGTGTCATCCGTCGAAAATGCACGAAAGTTCGCGATAACCCAGCGCTGACGTAATCTCCTCCCTTTTCAATCTCGATCACGCCATCCCGAATTTTCTCCGATAATAACGTCGGGATGTAAAAATAATCCAAACGAAACTGGACCACTCGGTAACCGAGCAAAAATAACCAACCCCTCGATAAACGATGAACTATAATTCGACGCGTGTCAAAAATACTATTCGATTCGAATCGAAGATGGATTCGCGTGTCATTTTTAAACCACCGAAAGAAGAAAATTAATCCCACTGACCTCGAGTTATTATCCGAAATTATCATTCCGAATTTGCAAGTTCGAGCAGCTACCGGGTAAAAATTCTTCCTCGAGATGGCGAACGAAGCATCGCGGCGTTCGAGAGGAGAAAAGGAGGTGCGCGTAACGGGAAGAAAGATTCGCGTCGTTGCAGCCACTTGTTTCCTCCGACAGGGCCGTAGCAAATAATAACCGCGAGGAAATACGAGAGGGGGTCAGGGCGAAACGCTGAGAGAACCACCCCAGTTTCCCGGGGGCTATTGTTGCTCGCTCTCTTTCAGACGGGCGAATCTATCTGGCTGCGATAATCGATCGGGATGGAAGTAATTCCCTGGCACAAAAAGCTCGTTCAGTTATTTATTACGAACAAACAGCCGGCGCGCACGATCTTCCAAATTATTGTCCCGTTCCATCCATCGCTGCGCCGGATAATACGATTCGTATAATTCCAACCGAAACTTCCACCCTTCGACGAACAATGCAGCCGCTAATTTAAGAGATCGAGCCACGGGCCAGGCTCGCGCGAACCTTCTAAATCTGTAATTTTCTCCCGACCTTCGCGTCAGCGCAGGAATTTTTACGATCCACGTCAGAGCCCCGGGACTGCCGCGTAGGAAAAGGGTAGGACGTTCACGTGGACGGATAGGGAAGAAGCAAAGGGGTCAGAAGAAAAGACAAATGGACCCCCGAGTGAACCCGCGGTGGATTCGACGAAGAAACGTGGGCCACGCTCCGTGGCTCTACCTTATCGATTCTGGAAGCCGACTCGCGGGTGGTCCCTCGACGTCTACACGATCCTCTTCTCCCTCGACCTCTTTTATTTTCCACCGGTGGCGGCACGAAAATACACGGGCACCGGCCCGCGAACTGCCCCCAGGGGGCGGACCCTTCCACGTGGGTGGCTCTCGCGTGCCGGGCCCTAATACGTTTCTAATTGAAATGTTTATCGGTGGGACCACTCCGAGAGTCTCCGCGCATCGAATCGATGAACGGCGAGAGATTTATCGGCTATGGGTAAATTACCGATCCAATGGAACTCGAGCGTCTCGAGCTCTCCGTTTATTCCCCGCTTTATTTCTCTGGGGATATTTGGGGCACGTTGCTCCGATGCTACTCGGAGGAATCGAGAGAAGACTCGGCCGGGTGCGAGACGCGATATCGCGGTGCTTAAGAACGTGTTTCCTTCTCCCACGTCCCATCATCCAGACGCTCAAAATTGCACGGGCAAATCGCGCGTTACGATATGACGGAAGAGAGTGCTAGAATGTTGCGCAATAATGGCGGGAAAAAGAAATACAGGCCTCGGATAGGCACGTGCGATCTTTTATTCTTTTGTCGAAGCTTCACAGGCAGTTGCGCTTAATGCACTCCCTTTGTGGTAGTGGCTTATCGGACAGTTATAAGAGGTCTGTTTCCGCGGCTCCTGTGCTCGAGTGCTCTACATCATCGCTAACATTGCCTATTAATTTGCATTTATAACGATGAGAACCGCGTGGAAAACATGTCGTGCCTCTGCATCGTTTACCACGCGAGATTTATTGCGGACATTAAACGCTTAATTCACCGACCCGCCTAGAGTATACAATGTTCTCCCTGTTTCCCTTACGAACCTCTTAAATCACCGTCTCTTCTTATTCGCGAGAAAATCAACCCCTATCTCGCCGCAGCTTAAGGGGACCGGTGAATTCCGAAATCTCGAAAGATATCGAATTTCCTTTCATCCTGCCGCTTTGCCGTCGAGCGGGCAAAACGGCGTAGGCGGTCGGAGCGCGTTTCAAAGCGGCCTCGCGGACTTTCGGGATCCTCCTCGCGCGACGGAAAGATCACGAGGAAGAGGACGGGGGTCCGCTGTGACGTGG